AGACAGCGAGGGTGACCGGGACAACCGCGGAGATCGGCTCGTCTCAAGGATGGGACAGTCAGGGGGTTCTTAGGGAGGGGGTTGCTCTCGGGGTTTCTCGAACTCTCTGTCCCCGGAGGGAGGACGCGCGGGGACCGGACTCCGAGAGCAGCCGCAGGGCTACGGCTGTCCTCGCCTCGGGCTTTTTGGACGTGCCTAAGCCGTCCCGCCAGCTGAACGTGGCGGGGAGAATTGAGTTCTCTGAGACGTGGGGCGAGCGGTTTAGACGCCCAGCTCCCGCTCGGTGGTCAACCTGCGTGATACTCCCAACCCCTGGAAGCAATTTCACGTCGGCCCCTGGGTGAATTCCACTGGATAAGTCGTTGGGACTCGTAACACTTGCCTGGTGGCGAATCATCACCGAACAGTTTTTTTACGTGATACAGAGGTCTTTAGCGCGGTGCATCCTCAGCCCCCGGGCCCCCTTTCACGCAGCCGACTCCCAACTGTGAGTCTTGGTCAATCCGGGGACACACACACACACACACACACACACAGAGCTGTGAGTTGTATCCACCCTGGGGAGAAGCTCCCTGATGCTGTTTGTACAATGTTAGACCCAGTAAAAGGGATGTACTGTGTGTTGATGATGTTCAGGCAAGTTTGAAACCAGGGAAATCTAGTCTTCGGCAGAGCAGAAAGGCTTTTGATCACACAGGAGCCCTTGACCTAGGGGCAAGTTGGAAGGCACTGGTAACTTTGGCAAGAGAAGTTTGTGTGATGAAGTTTCATTATCTGTTGGTAACAGTTCTTTTTATTCTCAAGCCTTTTTGGCCTTAATGAGCAAGTATTTTGTGTTTGTGACTCTTTATTTTTGCTTATAACCCTAATACTAATAAAAATAATAATAAAATAGCAGTCTTATCTTGGCTAGTAAAGACATATTCTGCCGTGGTAATTGGAACCAAAAGGTCAGAAACATTTTGGCAATGAAACTGGACAAATCTTATTAAATTTATCAGTGATTTTAGGCTCCAAAAGGAACGTAATGACTTGGATACACATTTCACTCGCCGTTCTCATGTTGGTAGGGTCAGATTTAATTTAAAAGTTAAATGCTTTGGAAAATCAAGAATTACTTCAATATATTAAATCATTTTCCAATTAAGTGCTTTAAACAATTGTAGTGGGTTGTGCTTGTGAATTGAATAAATTAATTGAGAAAGTCTTCAGAATTTCTTTACTAGCTCATTGAAGTTCCTTTTAAGTCACCCCGCATATGAGGAGCGAACTGTTCTTTTTAAATGCAAATTAGCCACCCTTTCTATAGACTAGATGCAAGTCTTCTATTTTACTTATCCAGGGAATAATGGATTTTTAAAGATGCAAAGTCAGAAGATACACTTCTAATAGTAGGAAGAGACTTCATAGAGATGTTTCTCACAGGACGTCTGTCCCTGCCCTTCTCTGGGTAGGAGTGTATCAGATATATTTGTCACTGATCCCCGATTATATTAAATGTACTGAGTTGCTTTGCTAGGCCCCAGAAGGCACAGGCACTAGTGAACGTTGGTACAAAATTTCTGTCCAGCTCCACAATTTTCGTTGTTAAGAATGCAGTCAAGCAGCATTCAGTTTTGCAGTGACTCAGGTAGATCTGCAGGGCTATGAAGGTGGGCAAAAGTTTGAAAGAGGTAAAATAAGAAATCTGTATCTACATTTAGTAAAGAACAAGTTGGATCTGACTCCCCAAAAAGAGACAAGACTGCAGGGTAAACCTTGTCTGTTTCAGAGGTGTAATGAATATGTAGTTTATTACAAGAAACAGTCACTTTGTCAGGTTATTTGTTTTTAATAGGATGATAAGATCGTAAATTACTAATTATCTTTATTTTAAATCTGTCAGCACTTTACTAGTTAAAGTCTCGTGCTGAATCCCAGCGGAACCAGTATCTTTCTATGCTTTAGCGTCAGGCAGTTGTAAGTAGAGATTTCTCCAGTGACATTTTTTTCAGTGTCACAAGAGACCCTAATCCAGAAAATGAGTATTCTCTTCCTGAAGCATTTCTAAACTAACATGAGGTTGTTTTACTTTGCTGACACTTTCCAGCACTGCTGCTCTATTGATTGCCAAAACACTACTTACATTTTTTCAGTTAATAAACTCCGTGGGAGGAATTTTTGGGAGGAGAGTTTAATCTAGTATTGCCCTATCGTAAGAGCACATTACGTTATGAACACATCACTATGCAGACTGGCCTCCATTTTCACATAGCCCATTGCGGGAGAAAACAATGCAGTGATGTTGGTTGTGGCAACTGTACGAGGCATCTCTTATGCAAACAGCCAGAATGGATGGCATGTTGCTGTATGTAGGTCAGCCTTTGAAGTACCACTGGAGCTCATAGGCTGGACAGAAACATGTAGGCTGGAAGTAACAGTGTTTACCTCTGGCATCTTAAAGCATGGCTCTATTTCAGACATTGAGAGATGGGTACCATAGTCGAGTTTCATCTAATAAAGACTATTTTAAGTAACATTGTATCCCTTAATTGAACTGAATGTTACCAAAAGAAATTGGATTATAGGAGCTCACAATTGGAGTTCAGCAGTAAAATATAGTCCTCTTTTTTGTTCTAGTTGAAGATGTCAGAGCATCAGTTTAAATATATACCCACAGAGTAATAACAGTTCCTTTCAGTTTCTTAGTGCAGTGTCATTTCTGAAGATTGTTTTCACTGATTTTATGCTAAATTGGGACAAAGAAGTGGCACTTTTTCATTTTTACAATGATGTGATGTGTTCAGTTATTGCTCAGTATCTGCCCACATCAGGAGTAGTAATACAATTATGTTATGACATGGCTAATGACAGGGATGCTGACCTCTGCCAGCAGTGGGAGAGGAAATAATGGTCTTCACTGTTCTCAGCGGTTGCTTTTGTGGAATCAGGTCCTGAATCTTTCTCTGGTTGATTTAGACACAAGGAAGTTCAAAACACAAACCCGTGCTTAATACTGGCTTATATGCAGAGTGAAGAATAATGGGCATTTGGAATATTGGGCTTTTGTCATTGAAATGAGGAAGGACAGTGTATAATCTTTTCATATGAACACAGGAGGAAGGACCCATTTGTGATGAACTCTGCGTTAAAATGTCAGGGCTAACAGTAGACATTGATAACTTTTGAGAAAAACAAGATTCCTTATCATCTCTGTAGAATCTCCTTCGAGCTTATTTTCCTATTTAGAGTGTTATGTGTTGTACTTTAATGTGGCAAAAATCATCATCTCTAAAATACAGGATTTGCAAACACATTACGATGGAGTCATTATTTCTACTGTAATAAATATAAGGAGGAGTGGGGAGCGGAGGGGGAGGAGAAGAAAGGGGAGGGTTATAAGCAATTTAGGGCATCATGCTTGATTATTCTCTGCCCACCCCCATAACTTCTAGGACTTTGGGAAATTCCTAGTTTATACTTTGGACGTCATTGATGTAATTAAAAATCTCCTGGGAGTTTTATTAGCTGGCATGTTTCATAAGTTTTGAGGTCTTTAAATATGTTCTAAATAAATTTATAGGTAAGAGCATAGGAGCAAAATCATATAGTTTTGGCCACTAAATCAGATATCATATGAAAAGCTCAAATGTAGCTAGCCCTCTTGACTTTGTGGGATATTTCAGTGTCGTAAACTCTTGATTTTTAAATGTCTATGCAAAAATTATAGTTATAAGCTTGGGAGCTTATAATGTTATTTTTAACATAGCTTACATGGTTTAGGGTACTCTCAGTTTATTGAACATGTTGGAAGTTGCTAAGTGATGATATTAAGGAGCATTTTGATATTTTGCTTAGTTAGAAACACTAAACTGATATTTAAATATCATTTACTTGGCTGCTTATTGTAGTTCCTTTTTTTTTTTTTTTTTTAATGACATGATTGCGAAGGGGCTAACAAGAAAAGAAGGAAGGCCCTTGAACCTGAAAGAAGTAGGGAAAGCTTCGAGCTTCACGGTGGTTTTCTTGGTGCCCTAACTGGGTCTCAATTTTTGGTTTTGGTGTGTGGGACTATTTCTTGTACTGATACTTTTTTGTGTGATGGGCTCACATTCAAGAAAGTCGTAGCTTAGAGAATTGAGGCGGGGATGGGGGATCTGATTTAGCTAGGAAGCATGATTTATTCTAGTGCTTTGCAACATTTTGCTAACTCACCAGAA